TGTTGCTCTATATAATGTAGCTAAGAAATTATTATAAGTCGATCGATGGTACCGCTGCCACAAGCCGCAAGATCAAAAAAACACGTGATAATAGCGGGAAAACAAGTTTCTATAAACAAAAAGCAGAGGCAAAATGTAAAAACCGAGACAGAGAAATGACAGATGCCGGTTTTTTGACTAATGTTCCGATTTTGTTCTTTTGGGACAACACATGGCAACCGCTAAAGAAAAATAATTTATCGCGATTCTCTGAGTAGAAAATTCTCATCAATTAAAAGAACGATTTAGAATTTAGAAGGCCCTTTAAAATAGAATTATTCCGAGATCAGTTTTAAAACGTGTGTCTGTTTGCGCTGATATGCTCCCTTACATTGCTGACGCAGCATTTGACTTTAAATATTTAGCTGATGCATAAAAATGCATCCGTACCTTGGGCACATAGCAGTAGAGGAGCTTGTGCTCCTTGTCCACAATCATGTGGTCCATCTGCAGCTCGCTGAGGTCTTCCAGCGTTTGCGTGTTCTCTCCCAGCAGCTCGCATTGCCTCTGCATGTACTCCTGCCGCTGAATATTGATGGTTTGGGTCAGCTCCAGACTGCGGCGTGTGATTTTGACATTATTGTTATTGCCGTCCTCGAATGGTAGGCCATCGACGACAGTGGTGAGAGTGGCCAGGAGGTGCAATCCCAGTGAAATGCAAAGCGAAAGCCAAACCAGTCGATCCATAATGCACTGGCCTCGATCTCGATTGTCCGCAGATTGCTGCCCGACTTTCAAATCAGGTGGTTAAATATCGAGGAATTCACTATCACTATCATTAACTCGGCATTAGCTCTGCCGCTGGCGCCCGAAGTACTTGACGCGATGCACAAACTTCAGGGTGGCCGCGTTCTCAATGCCCAGCTCCTTTAATGTGGCTCTCCCGCTGGAGCTTCGGTCGTCGATCGGCTGATTGGTGTCCACGTTGAAAAGGCCAAAGCAGCGCCATAGAATCGCCACGAGACGAATGCGATCGTGTCCGTTGCGCTGAGCGGAGTGAACTAACTCGCCGGTGGAGCTGGCCATAGCCACAACTGGTTGCCGTCTCTGCCGCCAATCTTCGTGCCTCGCCTCGTCTCCAGCCGATTCTTCGGCAATTCCCGACGCCTGAGACGCTCTTCGTGCCGTTCGCGTTGCTTGCGCTTGTGCTGTGCTCGAGAGATCAAACCGATTGCCCTCTTCAGCTGGGCAATCGTCGGTTCACATTGGTGGAGCTGCAAAAATTCAGAAAGACACAGAGAATCAAACGAAAAGTTGTTTGAGAAGGGTTAATGGAGCGGGAAAGGGGCACATGTTCGATTAGAGGGAATTTTAACTTTGAAATTAATCAGAAAAGGGAAATACTAAAAGATATACAGCTTCGCGAAGAAGTCCCTTTTTATTTTGACTTTATATCTTTAGGTTGATGTAAGAGCATTCCGATTAAGGATCTAGTAAATCCACTTGACTTGGCCTTCATCCGTTGATACTTTAAGCATCCTTGTGTATTTCTTTGCTGTGCAGAATACAAATAACTGGATTTAAGTTAAAATAAACCCCCCGAAACTATAATTATTTCAACATTCCTTGAGTGATCATTCAAAATTCAAAGTAAATAATGTTGAAGAATAAATTCGGGACGAAATTACTACTATGAGACCTTTCACTCGTTTATATGGCTGCTTAATTAGGAACGCAGACAAACTAGTTCCGGCAATTATGCGGCCACTGTGGCTCTCGCCTGCGGGTAAGGATTGTCTCTACCAGGACGTAGGTTATTCAATCTAAATCTATATTTCTCAAGGTCCACGTACTGTATTTTTTTGGGCCCTGCTGTGAAGTGGGTACGTCGTCCGCTAGGCTACATCCTAGTTCTTGTTCATATTATAAATATAAAACCCTCCTAGTGCGTTGTCCTGGCCGGATTAAGCGACGTCTTCAATCGTCCCCCGCATCTTATATCCAAGAGACAATCTGCAGTCTTGGCGTTCAGCGGGATTTGTGGTCACGCTGGTCTATGATCATTCGGCCAAAGAACCACAGCTACATGCTCTGCAACGCTGTTCTGTCCGTGTCCAGTGCATCCTCCTTTGGAGGAGTATGAACCGCAGTCTCTACTCGGAGTGGTCAAACTGGCGGGAAACTCAAGAAGGAGGTCAATTTAATTACCCTTACCCTGATTTAGCATATATCTTTCCTAGATTTAAACGTATCTACTTTTACAGAGACAACAAAATAATAATCAATCCAAGTGCAAGCAGCTGTTCAATTGATTAGGAAAATATACTGACCACACGTGAGAGTGCTGAGTCCATCCCGCTGCACATGGATCGTTGTGCCTGACCCTGGCGATGGCAATCTGGAATTATGAAATTGATACTTTTTTATAATAAAACCAGGTGCAATGCTACCGCGTAACGGGAACGGTCTCTTCCTAATAATCAATTTTCACCAATTAACACTTTAGTGGTCGCAGTAGTCAGTAGCAGTCACTATTGGTGAACGAAAGCATTGCCAGAACGAGCTCTGCAATGTGCTAATTGCACATCGATGCTGTTGTGGAGATTGTAGGTGTACTCTGGTCGTATATATCTAAATAATATTGACGTATTGCATTTCTTGGATGCTGTAAATGATATAAAATGGGTCGATCTACTTTTGTCAATCAGCATTAGCACATCAATCTGGCTGGTCTTTGTAATGCAGACTTTTGGTCTTTCTAAGAATTAAGTAGACCGACACACTTAATCATTATACAATATATTAAATACATTGTTGCTAAGCTTAAAGCGCTAATCTACATAATGTATTTGAACTATCAAGAATGTATAATTATTTTAGTAAGGTATTACTAGATCAGAAAAAAGCAGCTTTGTGCGCAAGGAGCTCGGTGCATCTCGTCAGTCCGCATAAGGACTTCGAGACACTCTTGGTGCTTATCATCGCTACGTGTATGACCATCCACAGTGATAAATAATTATATTTCAACAATATACAATTACAATAGTTTGCTGTGGTAGATGAATAAAAGATAATCCTTTCGGAATACTTCCTTACCTCCCCCATCAGCTCTGTGGGCGTAATATCGTGCGGAATATCCGAGAGCGTTTCGCAGCTGTCCAGGATCCGTCGCAGTTCCTCCGATGTGCTGGCCAGCATGGCATTGTGCTCGGATCGGTCAAAGTCGTTGCGCTGGCGCCGTGGAGTAGTGGACAGCTCTCGGGTTGTCCTCTTTCGCTCCTTTCGCTTGCCCAGAATCTTTTCGTTCGATTTCGTGCCTCCCGCACGGCTTTCTTTCGCAGATTCACGGCATTTTTTGCAGGTTTTTGTAGGTCAGTGCATAAGGCTTAGCCGACCGCCTTTTTCACTGAGGGGTGAGCGTTCTCTTCTATATCGCTTTTCCATTATATTTTGTTTATTATTGGTTAACTTTTTCTGCTTATTATTGTTTTTTCTTGCCTGAAAGTGAAGAGTGACGCCGATGATTACTTTTATAAACCCGAAAATCAGAGGCAACTGGCCACACTTAACTGTCCAAAATTGGTGCTGCCAGACATTGCATGGCAATTTGCGCCCATTATGCGGTGTTACCAGATTAAACCGAATTTTAAATTTGAAATAATAAGCTTTTATTCACCTTGCCTTTCAATTCATTTCAAAATTAATCGTCTTTCAATAATAATAAAATAAATGTTTAAACAGTTTTATAAAAAATGTCAAAAGGATCGGGGCCTTTGTCGAAGATGTACAATGTGATCATTAACTCTGTTGATCCTTTCATTCCACAATCACTCCAACCGTTTTGGACTTCGGAAGCCGGTTTGTAGCCATATTTGCTTCAGTATATAAAGGAATTAACTTATTTTGCAGGACCCCAAACAGTATTCTTTTGGGACCGTTCTTCAAATGGGTAAGTGCAACTTAATAGTCATCATTGTGATTAAACTATTATTTAATTATGATTATTTGTAGGGCATGGTGGTGGCCGGTCTAGGCGACACTTTGAGTCGGCCTGCCCAGAACATCTCGCTGAACCAGTGCGGGTCCTTGGCAGCCGCTAGCTTAATTTATACCCGATACTCGATGGTGATAACTCCAAAGAACTACTTCATGCTATCCGTCAATCTAACCGTTTTTATGATCCAGAGCTTTCTTATTGGTAGGCACCTTAAGTGGCGCAGCGAGAATGGCCCGAATGCAGTGTACGATCATTCTGATTTTTCTTTCCATTGGGGGACGATTGGTGAATAGCAGAGGGATCTTCAAAAAACTATTTCTAAGTGAATATATTAAGTAAAATAAAGGGGCTTTGGGTCAACCTCACCCACAAAATCTAGCTTTAAGTCCTTTGTATAATACTAAAATCTGTATACATTAATCGAGCGGTGGGCCACAGCAGCCAATGCTTAATATCCTATGCTAGCCTTAGTTTTCAACCAACCGCTAGCTTTATATAAATAAATAAATAAATAAATAAAGGGGCTTTGGATTTGGCATTATGACTTATTGTTTGTTTCTAAAGTCGTTCATTTCAGATTTAAATGTTCAAAAAATTCGCCTTAGCCTTTTCTTTCACTTCAAAATTTCACGTCACTCAAACATTCCAAAATTATTTTAAATTTTTATTTTAATTAAAAATGTCAAAAGGATCTGGACCTTTATCAAAGTTGTACAATGTAATCATTACCTCTGTAGATGTTTTGGTTCCACAATCGATGCAACCGTTTTGGACTTCCCCAGCTGGTAGGCAGACCTATGTACATATTTGATTAAGTAAATAAAGGAATTAACCAATTTTACAGGTCCACGAACCGTATTCTTTGGGCGCCGCTCTTCAAATGGGTTAGTTAACATCATTAATGGTCATTGTTAAGATTTATCTATTATCCTAATGATTATTTACAGAGCCTGGTGGTAGCCGGTCTTGGCGACACTTTGAGTCGTCCCGCCCAGAACATCTCGCTCAACCAGTGCATGTCCCTGGCAGCCACTGGCTTAATTTGGTCCCGCTACTCGATGGTGATAACCCCAAAAAATTACAACTTGCTGTCCGTCAACATTGCGGTCTTTATCATTCAGAGCTTTCTGATTGCCAAGCACCTAAAGTGGCGTAGCGACACTACCCGGAAAGCGGTCTACGATCATTCTCATTTTCATTCCATTCGGAGGACGAATGGTAACGAGTGGACGGATCTTCTTAAGAGACAATTTCCAAGTAAAAGGTGAAAGTGAACTTTTAGCACTATCGACTTTGATTGCTTACTTGTCGGCCTTGATAAGGTCAGATTTATTTTGAAAACATCCCTGAAGCCCCACCGAAGACCTTGTACACAGATATCTAGACGCATTCCTAAGACATAAGAGCAAACGAATCGGCTGAATATTAACTGCAAAAAAAAATATATATATATGTTGGGTATAACCTTCTATAAAAAGTGATATTCCTGTTTAAATTAATAAGAGCAAGTTATAATTTTTTTTCTTAAAATTTTCCGATCGTTCCTGTTGCATCTATATATAAATCTATACATATAAATATCAATATACTCCACCGAGTCGGCGTGCTCCGATTTACAAACTTGTAAAAGTATATAGGAGATCAAATTAATAGTTTCATTCAAATAGTTTGCTCTTAAATTTGTTCCAAAACAAATCCTGTACATCTGTGCATATGATTCCCAACTGGTTCTAACATCCCCGGAACGAAGTGACTGCTGCCGGCCAGGTCTCAGAGAAGTGTTGTGTTACAAAAGATGCAAGTCATTGTTTATTAGTGTTCAAAGTTAGTAACTGGTCATAAATACTTATTGGTCATACATACTTACTGGTCATAGACACTTACTGATTATAGTTACCTTCTGGTCAGAGATACTTATTGTTCAGACTTACTCACTGCTCATAGTTACCTGCTGCTCATAGTTAATTAATGATCATAGTTACTCATCATAGTTAATCATAGTTACTTCCTATGTCAGCTATATATATGTTTATATATAGTCCACCGATTTAGCATGCTCCGATTTATAAGCTCGTAAAAATATATAGAAGATCAACTGGATGGTTTAATTTTAATAACTTGCTCTTAAATTTGTTCCAAAATAAAACTCGTACATCAGTGCATATGATTCTCAACAGGTTCTAACATCCCCGGAACGAAGTGACTGCTGCCGGCCAAGTCTCAGAGAAGTGTTGTGTTACAAAAGATGCAAGTCATTGTTTATTAGTGTTCAAAGTTAGTAACTGGTCATACATACTTATTGGTCATACATACTTACTGGTCATAGACACTTACTGATCATAGATACCTTCTGATTATAGTTACATTCTGGTCAGAGATACTTATTGTTCAGACTTACTCACTGCTCATAGTTACATGCTGCTCATAGTTAATTAATGATCATAGTTACTCACTGGTCATAGATACTTATTGTTCAGAGTTACTCACTGCTCATAGTTACTTGCTGCTCATAGTTTATTACTTATCATAGTTCTATAAATCGTCCAATTGTTCCTATTTCAGCTATATATATGTATATATATAGTCCACCGATTGGCGTGCTCTGATTTATAAACTTGTAAAAGTATATAGAAGATCAACTGGATAGTTTCATTCCAATAACTTGCTCTTAAATTTGTTCTAAAACAAGTCTCGCACACTTGTGCATATGATTCCCAAGTGGTTCTAACATCCCCGGAACGAAGTGATTGCTGCCGGCCAGGTCTCAGAAATGTGTTGTGTTATAAAAGTTGCAAGTCATTGTTATTAGTGTTCATAGTAATTAACTGATCATACATACTTACTGGTCATAGACACTTACTGATTATAGTTAATTAGTAGTATAGATACCAATTGTTCAGAGTTACTCAAAGCTCATAGTTACTTGCTCCTTATAATTGATTACTTATCATAGTTACTTGCTGGTCATAGATACTTATTGTTCAGAGTTACTCAATGCTCAGAGTTACTTACTACTCATAGTTAATTACTGGTCATTGTTAATTACTGATCATAGTTCTATAAATTGTCCGATTGTTCCTATGTCAGCCAATTGTTCAGAGTTACTCAAGGCTCATAGTTACTTGCTCCTTATAATTGATTACTTATCATAGTTACTTGCTGGTCATAGATACTTATTGTTCAGAGTTACTCAATGCTCATAGTTACTTACTATTCATACTTAATTACTAGTAATAGTTAATTACTGATTATAGTTTTATAAATCGTCCGATTGCTCCTATGTCAGATATATATATTTATATATATAGCCCACCGATATGGCATGCACCGATTTATATACTTGTGAAATTATATAGAAGAATAACTCCATAGTTTTATTCAAATAGCTTAAATTTGTTCCAAAACAAATCCTGTACATCTGTGCATATGATTCCCAAGTGGTTCTAACATCCCCGGAACGAAGTGACTGCTGCCGGCCAGGTCTCAGAAATGTGTTGTTATAAAAGTTGCAAGTCATTGTTTATTAGTGATCAAAGTTATTAACTGATCATACATACTTACTGGTCATAGATACTTACTGATTATAGTTACTTAGTGGTATAGATACCAATTGTTCAGAGTTACTCAAGGCTCATAGTTACTTGCTCCTTATAATTAATTACTGATCATAGTTACTTGCTGGTCATAGATACTTATTGTTCAGAGTTACTCAATGCTCATAGTTACTTACTATTCATACTTAATTACTAGTAATAGTTAATTACTGATCATAGTTTTATAAATCGTCCGATTGCTCCTATGTCAGATATATATATTTATATATATAGCCCACCGATATGGCATGCACCGATTTATATACTTGTGGAATTATATAGAAGAATAACTCCATAGTTTTATTCAAATAGCTTAAATTTGTTCCAAAACAAATCCTGTACATCTGTGCATATGATTCCCAACTGGTTCTAACATCCCCGGAATGAAGTGACTGCTGCCGGCCAGGTCTCAGAAATGTGTTGTGTTATAAAAGTTGCAAGTCATTGTTTATTAGTGTTCAAAGTAATTAACTGATCATACATACTTACTGGTCATAGATACTTACTGATTATAGTTAACTAGTGGTATAGATACCAATTGTTCAGAGTTATTCAAGGCTCATAGTTACTTGCTCCTTATAATTAATTAGTGATTATAGTTACTTGCTGGTCATAGATACTTATTGTTCAGAGTTACTCAATGCTCATAGTTACTTACTATTCATACTTAATTACTGGTAATAGTTAATTACTGATCATAGTTTTATAAATCGTCCGATTGCTCCTATGTCAGATATATATATTTATATATATAGCCCACCGATTTGGCATGCACCGATTTATATACTTGTGAAATTTTATAGAAGAATAAGTCCATAGTTTTATTCAAATAGCTTAAATTTGTTCCAAAACAAATCCTGTACATCTGTGCATATGATTCCCAACTGGTTCTAACATCCCCGGAACGAAGTGACTGCTGCCGGCCAGGTCTCAGAAATGTGTTGTGTTATAAAAGTTGCAAGTCATTGTTTATTAGTGTTCAAAGTAATTAAATGATCATACATACTTACTGGTCATAGATACTTACTGATTATAGTTACTTAATGGTATAGATACCTATTTTTCAGAGTTACTCACGGCTCATAGTTACTTGCTCCTTATAATTAATTACTGATCATAGTTACTAGCTGGTCATAGATTCTTATTGTTCAGAGTTACTCACTGCTCATAGTTACTTTCTACTCATAGTTAATTACTGGTCATTGTTAATTACTGATCATAGTCCTCTAAATTGTCCGATTGTCCCTATGTCAGCTATATATATGTATACATATGGTCCACCGATTTGGCATGCTTTGATTTATAAACTTGTCGAATGTATATAGAAGATCAACTGCATAGTTTCATTCAAATAACTTTCTCTTAAATGTGTTCAACAAAAATCTCGCGCATCTGTTTATATGATTCTCAACTGGTTCTAACATCCCCGGAACGAAGTGACTGCTGCCGGCCAAGTCTCTGAAATGTGTTGTATTACAAAACTTGCAAGTCATTGTTTATTAGTTTTCAAAGTGGGTAACCAGTACATACTTACTGGTCATAGGTACTTACTGATCAGAGTTACTCACTGTTCATAGTTACTTGCTGCTCATAGTTAATTACTGATCATAGTTACTTACTGCTCTTAGTTACTTAATGTTTATTGATACTTACTGTTCAGAGTTACTTACTGCACATAGTTAATTACTGATTTTCCTTATTTACTGATTAAAGTTCTATAAATCTAAAAATGATCCAATTGTTCTTATGGCAGCAATATGATATAAGCGTCCGATCTTTCTCGTTCCGAATTATGTAAGATATATCCACCCAGAGAAAAAAAACAATGATTTTTGTTGTGCCGCTCTGAAGCTTTACAAATTTTATTCGTTTTTTTCTCTTATGCATTCTTGAAATCGTCTTCGTATATCTTCTGCTTGAAACTAAATACTCTATCGTTGGACTATGTGTCATACCCCCGCAGAGATGTTGTTTTCGGGGGACTTTGTCTTCGGCATACCACTTACAAATGAGAAACTAAACAAATAGGAGACTTCTAAGTATAAGATATACATATATTTTAAAAGTGGCAATCGGTTAGGGTCCTGTAGCTGAGGTCCTGGATTCCATGCCTCTGGTCCTGCAAGCGGCCGGGATAGTGCGCACAAGCCCCGATGTGATTGGTGATTGGTCGTCCTGTCTCCGGTCGTCCTGCAGCCAATGCGCTGCTTGCAAAGGACTCGTCGTTGGCCTCCTGGGCGGGAGGAGGGCGGCATCTTCGGGTCGCTGGCAGCCCGGCAATGCAGTTGGCAACGCTGTTTGGCATCTTTTGTGGCCCACTCACACACACACTGACACACCGTCACTGGCTGCCCGGCCAACAGGCGTATACTTGATATATTACGTATACGCATGTGAGCGAGGCAGGACTCGTCGGTCGATGTGTTGGTTTGTGTGTGTGAGGGGTCGCTTGACAGGTTGCCAAAAAAGAAATGCATTGCCAGGCTTTGACTCCCGTTTAGCTCCCTCTCTTCGGCCGGGCTTCGTCGCCGCTGTGCATTGCCATTGGTGGTCAGGCCATCGGCTGTTGCAGCGGAGAATCGGCTCGGCCTCCTGGGCCTCCTCCTCAATTGGCCAACGAGGCATCCTTTGGGCCTTCAGTTGCTGCAAAGAGTCAGAGAACAAAGGAGATTACATGTTAGTTTTGGCTGCCAAAGATAGTTATGTATTATTTCAGTCTAGAGGGAGGGTCTTAAACTTAATTTGGAATTATTTTTAGCGCTTGAACTCTGGCGATGCTCCAAAACTATGGCACAAAATATGCTCTTATGTAATTCTTGTAGCTTGTACTAATTCAGGCTTAGAGTCACGTTACTGTGTGTTTGTAATGTAATAGGGTTTTTAAATAAATTCAATAAGAAAAACTAACTATTAACTAGTATTTACTTTAGTGTTTTTAAGTTTGTAACACTGTAAAGAGTCATTTCCAAATTAAAATTAATGCATTTTTGGCTTATTTATAAGTTTTTTAAACTTTTATTTGTTGAAAATATTGTCATTTAAAAATAACTATAAATAATTATTCTAAGACTTTGAATATTTTAAGCTTTTTTAATGATTGCAACTGCAGGGGCTTGTCAACTTCGGCTACTCGAAGTTAGTTTTCTTTCTTGATTTTATTTTAATTTTGTGTTGAATAATGAAATAAGGTATTATAGTTATAATTTATAGTGTACATTTCTTAGCCATTATTGTTTCCCATTACAACTTGTTAAAATATATAATACATTCCAAAAATTAACAATTATCACCCGTCAAAAATGTCAAATTTAAAGATAGATTTATTACTACATTTTATTTCGCTTCGCATATTTTCGATTATCCAAACTTTGTTTATCTCTCCAACATCTATTCTTAACTTGAATTTTTATAGACCTGGGCCACTGTGCCACCAATAATGCTGCTCAGCAGTGGAATGGGTAATGGGCCTCTGCCAAGATGGTAGCTTGCCAAAATCTTGCCTAGAATTTTCTCACGCTCTCTTCCAAAAAAAGAACGAACAAATTGTAGAAAAAAATGATGTGAAAGAAAGAAAGGCGGGATGGCAATGAACTTTGTTGCGTAATGCGGAATCTTGGCAAGCAACTCGATGCGATTCTGACGGGATTCCCCCATTCCGATTAGTTCCCAGAGCGATGCTGTCATGTAATTAAAGCGCCACCTGCCGGCCGATGCGTAAACAAATGAAGCCGACATAATTTATGATCATGGAGTTTTGCCAATAAGTTTCCCTCCCAGACACATCCCGCCACGCCGTCTGATCCGATCGCTTGGCGGAATGAGCCTCTATATCTACATACGTACATACATATATCCCGGCACTCTCTATGTCAGCACCCTCATTATTTTAACCGCCTGAATGACTTCGGAAGAGTTTCCCCATTGACTTAGGTCGGGAACTGTGTTATTGAACAGCTGCCAATTGCGGCGAGCCCAAATAATATTCATTCCAGGCCCACAGCCTCATCCCCATTCCCATTAATTTCACACGCACGTGTTAAGTCCAAGTGAATTATGGCCAACGGAACTGGTCCAGAAATATCCCAGGAAGCTAAGGAAATCCATAAGGATATAGGGAACACCATTTGCTTTTAATTGCCTGTGACACAGCTGTGTTCCTGGTCAATTTATGAGCTTTGTCTTAAAATCTTAAATTGGCAAATTATGAAAAATAATCTTTGCAGTTATTTTCACCCATATACTATATAGGTGTCCCTCATCCATTATTCATTGTTGGACATGGGCGAAAATAAGGAACGTGTCAAATGAGTGATGGCTTTGATGTGGCGTTATGTAAATTCAGGAAATGGGAATATGTTGGGGTGGAAAACTACTATATTTAAGATTAAATGGACTTGGTCGATGTATTATCACATTTACTTGCTCAAGTTTAACAACTAAAATTAATTAACAGTAAGGGAAACTAAGCTAAGTCCAAGTTTATATACTCTTTCACTTTGCAATTGAATTACAGGATTGGATCTGTATATCTCTATCTGAATCTGACTTTCTGTATTTCCTTCTTAGTGCCATTAAAATGATCTCATCCCTGATGATCTCATTAAGTTAGTCAATCTCAATTAATTCTTTATAAATTCTCTTTATTTAAATTTTCTCAAGCCACTGAAATGCTGACCAAAGGAATGATGATCATAACATTTTGCGAATACTTAATATAAATTATTTTTATGAGCAAATCTCTATTATAGACAACAGACGCAACAAATTAAAATGAATACGAATTTCTTGCTAAATTATAGACCCATATATCCTATAGATGGCAAAAAGTGCAAAAGACTTTGACGTTTTAAACAAATTTCCCTAGTCTTTCTTTCTTTTTTCCTCCTAGATGTTGTTGTTTCTGATCTATATAGAAAGGAAAAAGAAAAGATTGGTTTTATTTATTTGTTCTAGATGCTGAAAGTCGGCATTTGCCTAAAAGTTTTTCTCATTTTTCTTTTTTGTTGTTTTTTGTTGTTTTCTATTTGAATTTTCTCCCATTCGGTGGCGGTTTCTGCCTCATTTTGCCGTGTTGAATCTTTCATTTACCTTGCTATTTTCGGACACACTTGACGGGCGAAGATGCCGAAGATCGAAGACGAAGGCGAAAGGCGCAGAAAGCGATAAAAACGTCAAGACCGAACCCCAGAGAAAATTGCGCAGAACTGTCGCCTGCCCTTATGTGTTGCCCCAAAACAACAGCAACAAAAAATCATATATATAGTGTTCTGATGTACTGTGTTATATACCAGACTTCTATATATAAATAGTACGCAGACTGGCTCTCTATGTGTTCTTGGATCTTTGAGTTTGCGATGACGCGCAATTGACGCGAGCAAAGACGCGTTGAAAGCGTCGCCGAGCAGCTTCTATTTTCGTGGACACAACTAATATACTTTGCTCCGTACCGGCTAGGATTTAGAATCAGATTCGGCTATATACAGATACTGATGCATCTGGTTGTATATTTCGTTTTAATCTATTTCAGTTGCTTCATCGAAAATGTATTTTATGTGTGTGGCACCGCTCGTTCGTTCGTTTTTGATATATATGTACGATATATATGTTCCATCTGTCTGTGTTTTTCTCTGTGTCTGTCTATAGGGCGACAGCACAAATTGTAATTAGTGTTAGTTTTCTTGGTTTTAATTAGAATTTCTTAATTTGCACGTTTCCTTTCGGTGTGTGTGTGTGTGTGTGAGTGTGTTTTATGGTAAACAAACGAACCTTGAGATGCAGTTAGCCTGCTGTTTATTTATCGTACTATATGCGTTCTTTTAAATTGGGTTAATTTTGGCTTATTTTGCAATGGTCTCTACTGATTTTAGGCACTACTCGAAATGATGATGTAATTGCCGAAATTATATAATAACTAAGTAGATAAAATTTTTAGAGAAAATCTATTTAAGTTGATCATAGTTATTAGTTATTCGTTTCCTGTCAAATTACATGGGTTGTTTACTATAAGCAAATAATACAGTGTTTTTTTTTAAATGAAAGAAATTTTTAAATTATTATTCAATATTAAACTTTTTCACTATCTCCATATGGTCACAACTTCCATGCTCTTTTCCGTAAGTATAAATAAACTCGTATTGTTTTACCAAAAATGAATTTCTCACTTAAAACATTTGCACTTAAGATTTTACCCATTTTTTAAGTTTATTTTAAAAGTGCGTCTAGAACGTTTTCCGCTACATTTGTGTGCAAGAATTAAAAGCTTCAATTGCGGCAATGTTTGCTTTTATTAACTGCAGCTAAATGGGACACTGTTTTGATTTTATCTACTTTTCAAAATACTCAAAAAAGAACCCGAACTGTCAGCGTTGTCATCGTTCAGAAATCAAATGAAAACTGCAAGTCAATCACAATAAACACCCGAAAAATGCGAAAATAAAAGAAAAATATACTGCAAAATAGTAATCGGGAAATTGGCAGGCTGCGAATATTAACTGGCTGCCAAAAAGCGTTGAGGACCAAAATCGAAAAGAGCCAGGGGAAACCCAGAAAAAAATAAACAAAAATTGCTTGAATATTGGCCAATAAATTTTACAAGACGTTGACATTTGGCCAACGGCAAACGGCCTTGCCAAAGGCCAATCATTTGTATATGTGTGTGTGTGTGTGTCGCTGTGTGTGATAAACACAATCATAATGATAATTGGACACCTGTTGGCAACTGCTAGCGAATGTCTGGCCAAGAATTCTATGGCCAATTCAACAACAATCGGTGACGTAGCCGACGAACTGGGCAACTCTTCAAAAATGTGCGTCAGCAATTAAAATCATAATGAGAGTGCCAAGTCAGCCCCCGCTGAAAAAACAAAAAAAACTGGCTGCCAAAGGCCCAAGTCCACCAATCCACGCGCCAGACACACGACCCCTGGCCACGCCCCGCATTCCACAGGATGCGTCGTTTGCCAACGATGATGCCAAAAATCTTGGCAGCCCCCCTGAGGAACCCGAAGAAGCCGCCAACTGCTGGCTGCGTTTTTGTTTATGTTTATGTTCGTCCGGTTGGGATTGGTTTTTGGGCTTCCAGGGTAGGAGCATACATAAAGACAGACGGAATCGGAAGGAAAAAATGGGGAAAAAATGATAAAAGAGTTAAGACAAGTTTGGATTAAGGAAGCAGGAATACTCTATATAGATTTGAAAGTATATATTTAATAGATTTATGTATATGTTTATGTTTATATGCTTTAAAGGGACTTTTAAATGAACTGTTTTATAGATAATATCATTTATAATTAAGTTGCTTGAAAAAAACAACAGCTAAATTGAGTTTTCTGTTTTATAAAACATATATATCATAAAGAAGTAAGCAATATGAATTAACACTTTCAATACTTCTTTGATTACCTACAAAAAGCAGACTAAAGTAATCATTCTTTGAGTAACTTCACCATCGACTGGAACTTACTTGATAAGGGAAAACTCTGAGGAAAGTCCCATAAAAATCCGCCTTGAAAGATGGAAAATTTGTTAAGTGTTGGCCACTGCAGCAGCACAATCACCACCGCAGACTTGTAGGCGCTGCCAATTGCAGACTGCGACTATGCGGCGTATACGTAATATTGGAGAAGGAGCAGAAGGAGGCAGCACACATAACGTATACGCAGTGTTGGACAAAGTTGCGGACCAAATGCATAACAAATAAATAACAAAGGCCTGACCATCATTATAACAAAAAACAAGAAGAAAGGAAAGTCAAAGGGGGAAAAAAAAAGAAAGTGCCGCACTAATAAGTTTTAAGAAAATGAAAATGAAAAATCGTTTGTGCATTTTTATAAGTGCAAAAATATGCAAATAGAGTAAATCATTACTGGACTGGACCAAAGGCAGACAAAGTTCTTCTTCACTGCTTATTTTTTTCTCTATAATTTTTCGTTTGTTTGTTATTCTGCCTGCTGCTGATGCTGATGACTGCAGAAGGAGTCGAGGGCCAGAGGGTCAGAAGGAAACGCGAGCCAGAATCATAATTTGGCGATTTATTTGTTTGTTTGTTTTATTTTGGCCCGTCTAGGCCGGCATAGAGAATTATGGTCTGCCGTCTGTCGGCAAACTGAAGCTGACACAAAGCAGAGGGAGACCGGAATAAATGTCCAACTTAAATCCCCATCAATATTATGCATTTAAAGTTCTTTTGACAATTTCTCACTGGCAATTCAATTAGTTTTAATTGCTCGACTCTGGCGGACGTTTAAATATTTCGCCCGGCCATGGCCATCAATAAAATCAATGCAGGCCATAAATCTTCAAGCCTTTCATTGCACAGCCAAATGCAAAGTCGGAATTCGATGCTCTGGCGGAAACAAAGATAAAGAACCTTTGTTGGACATATGCAGCCAGTCGAGAGGAAAGGACATAATGCCTTGGACTTGGCTTGGCTTAGTTGCCAATTTCCTGGCAGAAAAAAATAGCCAGGAAAGCGAGAATTATTTGCCAGGATGTCCGAAACATTGTTGGTGTCAACAAATTCCTTTTCAACGGCTCCAAAAAAAATGTTCGACCATTGCCACCAGCAAAAACTAACTAAAAAAGGGGAGCAAAGAACCAACAAGCGAAGCGAAGACAAAATTAATGTGAAGACATTAGGGAATGTCCTGAAAATGTCCTGCCCTGCTCTAAGTCCTTGGCAATTAAATTTCGTGTTAATTTTTGGCTCTCCCTCCCCTGGTTTTCTGGCCAATTAACTATTCGTAGAAAGAGCACTGAAAAGATTTTAATTGTTTTAATGGATCGTAAATCTCTTTTGTACAACTCTCTGATTGTTGCCGCCTGTTGTTGTTCTTCTTCGGTGCCGACACTCATAAATTTTGGCATTTAAAATTTCAAAAATCCAACATAAAACTATGCAATTTTATGGCCCCAATTGAAAACTACAAAAGCAATCCCAAATGAATACCGATTGGGTCGAAATTTAATTGTCTAAAGACCAATGTACCCTGGCATGTTTTTTTGTCTTCAACTCGCGTGTGTGTGTTCAGTCATAAAAGAATAAATCTGTCTATGAGATTAATTTCTGATATATGAATTGCGTTTCATCTTGCGGGATAATTACACGGGATGGGTTTTGGGTCTGGCTGAAACTCTGGGTATCTGAGGGCGAGAGAAACCCTTCCCACTTAGCCCAGTCAACTCATCCTTGGTTAGTGTTCATTGAACCATAAGCAGTCAGTGACAGGAATCGAGGGAGAAGAGTAACTGGTTGCGGGAGAGCTCTTTAACATTTTTTGGCCAGGCCTATAAATTCGCCAGGGGATCCTGCCTAGATGTCGGAAGGTCCTTCACTGGGCACGCCCTCCTGCGGCGCATTTAGCTTTCCAGTTGACATTTCTATGTTGCATTTGGTTTTATTTATGTGGCGCCAGTTGATGTTCCTCCTCTGCGGGTTTTTCCAGAACAAGGGGTTAGGATTTTCACTCTTTTGCTGGGCGATTATCGCCACAGAACTTGATACAACTTAAGGGGTGATTTGATTTTTAGTTTGATTTATAATATTTGAGTTACAGGTTGAAGACTATCCCTTTGAGGTTTTTAAGAGAAAGCCTAATTCCTCTTCAACGTAGCCACAGTCAATAATTTTTTTTGCTTCTTGTTGAGCTTTTACTTTAATCAAAGGGCTTGGTACAGGCTTAGAATCAATAAACTCACTCACAATTCCATCACAAGTAAAAAAGAAATATTTACATTCCCATGTAATCAATTAGTTTTGAGCTTTGTTAAATATTGGTCAAATAAATATTTTGTGATTTTAAATCAACTTTTTGATCTTTGACTTTGTTAATTCATAGATTATTTTCAATAACAAGCATGTTCCTAGAAATGAATTGAAATTCTTTGAGGTTTATTTATTTATCTATGAGTTTAGTTTTCCATTTCCAATTCTATGAACTATAATTTTTCACCTCTCAATTTACTTTTGGTTACTTAAAATATCATTGTAATTAAAATATATTATGTTTACTGTTCATACTTATAAATAGTGTAAGGTCATTTTCTTCATTAGAAATTTACAAAGAAGTGGCTTTGTTAAAGTTAATTAAGAAATAGTTTAATATTCATTTATATATATATTTAATGTTATATTTTATTTAAACTTTTATTAAGTAAATAAATAATAAACTCACCATTTTCCAGCATTTATCCGCGCTCAGATGTTTTCCATTTTCCCTTCACTCTTCGCCGTCTTTTGCTGGCTGTGATTTACATCTTGTGCTTTGACCTCGCCAAAGGATTTTCCCGATCCGATTATAAAAGTAGGTCGTATTATGTTTGGACAGTGCTTATTAATATTTATTATATTTTTCATTATATCCCTTTTGACGTTGGGGTATAAACGTATTGTATTTCACTAATGTTTATGCTTGAAACTATTGCATATGTATATGTGCTGGTTAGGTTCATAATATTATATGTGTGGGGATTATATAATAATTGCTCAATTTTATTGCACATTGGTTATATTATGTTGTTTATTATATGCGATTATTTTTTATAAGGATAGGCACTATTTTCACTATTTGAAATATAGTTTGTGTTGGGTAATATATATTTTTGTATTTTATTTTTGTAGTTTTTGTTTTTAATATAATATATTATGTTGTATTATATCTTTCACGTGTTATATTATAATGTTGCACATTTTATTATGTAAAGTTTATGAGTATTGAATATTGTTCTATATATTGTATTTCAAATTAAAGTTATTGCTTTGAAATATTTTGTAGTTTGTTCTAGAATATTTGATCGTTGTGAAGTCTGTTGTTTCGTGACTTTTAGTATATTTTTAAAGTGTTGAAGTTGGTTATTATTTTACATGTTTTTGTTTTCCTCTTTTGGAGATCCCGATGTTGTGGCTCCCGGCGAGTAGATGCTTATCCTTTGGAGCTCCTTTGGCGTTTGCTCTGCTCTTGCTCCGCCTGATGAGCTGACGGCCAGGACAAGTCCATTGCGAATCCTTGAGTCCTTTCATTAAGCCTGGCCAGATGAAACAATCAGCGTGCTCCTGCCAAATCACAGTTGTTCTTGTGTTGGGTTCGAGCCAGAGCGAGTCCTTTGAATCCTCCCCTCCGCCTCCTCTCTCTTAGCCTCTCCAGTTTTGGCACCATGTTGGTCAGTTGCCTGGCACACACGCACTCACATACACACACACACACACACTCGCTGGCACACTCACTTTTACACCACAGAGCAACTGGTTGTTGTTGCTGTTATTTGCAGCTGCGAAACCAATACTCGCGTTTTTTTAATTGTTTATTTACTTTTCTTCTTATTTGCTGTATAATCGAGACGGACGTGCGAGTATCCTTGAGGGCTGGTTCTCACTGCCCAGGCTTCACTGTGTCGCCTTCATGTTTGTTCCACTGCAAGGGTGTGTGTGTGTGTGTGGGTGGGAGTCCAAACAGAGAGAGAGTGAGGGGGGACCACCAAAGAGAGCTGTCAATGGGCCATCAGCTGATCTTGGCCCTGATGTTTGAGTTGGCTAATCAAACGCGGTCCGTGGCCAAAAAAAGTGCGCTGCGTTGCAACCTTCTCCTCTCTCTCCTCGTCCTCCTCCTCCCCTTCGTCTTTGCCATCGTTGGCCACATCCTGCGTCACCTGTTTTTGTTGTTGGCCGGCCACTCTTTTCTTGGCTGGCTACGCGTCAAATTGAAAGCCCAACTCCGCTGCCGTTGCCGCTCAATTGGCAGCTAGCCGTGGGACCCGGATAGCGATTGTCCGTGTCCGTGTCCGTGTCCGGGTCCGGTGTTGGCCGCCCTGCCAGCCATTGTTGGCTCGCCACACCAGACGCTACCAGTTTCTTGGCCAACTGACTGACGACTGGCCGCGTGGCCTGCCAAAAAGCGAGCCAGAGGCCCTCGAACGAGTGCAGCGTGTTCCCACCGTAGCGTTCTCTACTCTTCTGCTCTCTTCTCTTTGTCGCATTCTGCTTTTTGTGTCGTCATCGTTTGACTCTTTCGCTTCGCCCCACCGCCTCCCTGGGAATCGCTTAGCAGCCACCTCCCCCTCTGGCACACACATGGGCCGCCTCTTACCACCCCACTTGCAGTATTTGCTCTTTGCCTGCAGCTCCCTGTAGCCCGCTCTCGCTCGCTCTCTCTCTCATCCAACTGGCGGGGCTCCAAGCAACTGATCCCCCATTCCCCATTATGGCTCACTCGTGTCACTTCGTGTTGCCTTCGGCAAGTGCTCGTCATCGCAGCAGCAGAGTTTCCTCTGACCCCCAATAATACAGTTACATAGCATCCCCTTTGCCACAGTGTCTTCCATGATTTTTAGTATTTTTTTAAATATTTTTGAGTTGAATTTTTTATACCCTTTCAGGGGTCATAAGCATGTATGTATATATTCTTGATCAGCATCACCAGCCGAGTCCATCTAGCCACCTTCGGAAAGAAAACATTTTTAAAATTTTTTCATTTTTTCAAAAAACAGATAAGCGGTTAGATCGTTAAAATTTTCAAAAATTGGCAAAATTTAAAATTTATAAACTTTGTATGTAGATTTAATAACCCAATAAGAACTAGCACAGAACAGTTTTCCGAATTCAAATTAATGCTATCTTGGCTGAGTTATGAACAAATACTGTTCTCACCAGTGCGTATAAGTAATTTTTTTGGGACTGGTATAATCAAACAAAAAGAAATATTAATTTTGTAACCCAATAAAAACTAGGACAGAACAGTTTTCCGAATTAAGATTAATGCTTTTTTGGCTGAGTTATGATCAAATACTATTCACACCAGTGCGTATACGTAATTTTTTTGGGGACTGGTATAATTAAACAAATAAAATTCATTTTTTTAAAGTAAAATTGCAGATTAATTAATCTAATAAATAAGTGCATTTAGGGCTTAGTTCTTATCGATTTAAAAATTGGTTCCCTGATTCAATTGCACACTCCAAGGGTATTCCAACTTCGGTTTCCTTTATTATTTTTTGTATATTTGAGTTTTAAAAATTGTATATCGTCGTTCCGGTATTGGCCGCGAAAACAACACAGCTAAGATGATTTATGTTTAGCACGTGGTTTAAAATGCTGAAGTGTGGGGTTTTATGAAGAGATATTTCAAACTCGAAAAATTAAATAGAAAATGGTTTGTTTTTAAAAAACCATTTTAAAACCATTTGTTTTTAAAAAACCATTTTAATAATATTTGCAAAATTGTGAATGTAAATATTGTAATTGTAAGTGTATTATGTGTTTTTGCATTAAGGAGTAAATTAGTTTAAGGATTTTAAGGTCCATAACATCAATTTATTTCGGTTTGTTTTAACGGTTGATTTTCAGAGACAATTTCGATTGGTTTCTGTAATCTTAAACTTAAAATCAATTCCCCGTAAAACAAATGAAGCTATTAGTTTTTCAAATTGTTTTTATCTAAGAAAGCAAAACTCAGCAAGGTAATCTTCAGAGCAACAATCAATTTTCCTAGCCCAATTATGAATGCATATGCAGGAGGGAGCGGAACAAAAAGATCTGCCAGAGATATATATATAAATACGTGGCTGCCTTTCGACAAACGCATAAACGCGGTCATAAAATTAGAATTTAAATGAGGCACTAAAAAGTGCAAAAACTACAAAGGATGAAAAGGAAAACTTGAGCACAGACTTTCGAGGGCTGAAAGGAAGAAGCCCTTCGAGTGCTCTTCGAGCTAAATGAATGCAAATGGTCAACAGGTTTTAGCACATGCAAGGACACATCTTCCCAGGACATCGATGCCAATCAGAATAAGTGGACTTAGGCGAGTCCCTATCCCAAAGGATCTGCCAGCAGCCGCCATACGCTCTCATCCTGAATGGATGCCATGTCTGAGTTATGAAACGAGCGGCGCCAGTGTAAAAATTTTATGCAAGCGAATAGCAAAAATCTCGATGTAAAATTGTAACCAGCGCTAATAAATTTCTAATAAATGCATGTTAAATAAAGGCCACAATGTTGTCTGTGCACCGAAAAAAATATAAGCATACAGAAAAATTCAATCTTATAAGCTGATTGTAAAAAAAGTAATAAAATCTTACGATTATATAGATTCATTAGTAATAACGTAGAATATATTTATACTATAAAGACAGCAAGACATCAAGGTTTTAATCAAATTAAATTAATATTCTTACATTCCAGAATGTTCCTATATCATAGAATAATTTAAAGTAAACAACCAAAGTAAGTTCATAGCCTTTTCAAGTGTATTTGTAGGGGCCGACAATTGAGCGTGTTAATTGAGCACCGATTACGCGGCCATTATAATGGGAACTCCCTCCTGCCAGCTGAGGGGTCGAAGGTCAGACGGGAGTCCGTTAACCACCGGCAGGACAGCAAAAAGTGTGACAACAATGCGAGCCACACATTGACCACAGCAGCACGTGCTGCCAGAGGCCAAAACAAGTCCCTCCTCCGGAGCAGCATCCCCCCCATAACAATCCCCCTCATCTAATGCCGAATGGAGAATCGGGGAACTGCTGTTGCTGTCGTCCTGTTTCCGCTACCAACTAAACGTTTATTTATTGCCCAAACAGCGCCAAAGGACAACAGCGTCAGCCTCGATCCTCAGACCCCTGAAAGTCCTGGAAACGCCTGCACCACTTCAGCTAGACAAGGACCAGGCCAAAGATAAACACATGAGGGTGTATTAGGATGGACCACAGTTAGAGATTTTCTCAGTTTTAAATATAATAAAATTTAGGTTTTAAGACACATTAAATTACAGGAATTTAAATACGCTTGAAGCGTATAAAAAAACAAGGTAAACACACAAAAATATATGGCTCTAAGCTAAAACTATGGCTTTAATAAATGCCCTAAGTTCTATAAAGGAATAGAATATATCTAGGTCTTATACAACATAAGAATTACTAGTAATTTTAAAAATATTATTTATTTAATATAAATTTAACTAATCCACCCCAATGAATAACATTCTCTCCCCTTTATTTAGCATCGCCACAGTTGCCAACATTTCTTCTAACTGGGCAGTAAAAGCACCGTAGATATTAAAGGGCAGGGGTTAAGGTTCAGGCTGAGAGCAAAAGCAGCGAGAGGACGCCACACATCTTGATTTTTGCCAAACAAAACATTTTTCGAGCACTTGCTCAACGAGACTGCAATGGCTATAACTGTATTTGGTTATGTTAGTCACGTGGCCTCCACTCAGTTTTGGCCAAATTGCTGGACACCATTGGGAAAGGGGCAAGGGAAGGGTTGAATTTGCGATGGCAGGAAAAACCGCAGTGTTTTTATTTTTTCTTGTGGTAACCAAAGGACGAAGAACCAAAGGGAAAGCCAAGAAAGGGGACCCGGAATCACAGATTCAATAAAAACACTTACAACTTTGGGTGGGCAAATATTGTTAAGATTTTTAAAGATATTGATGGTGATTTTTACAGTTTTGAAATTTTCTTCTAATAAATATGTTTTTAAAATTAAATAAAAGATTTCGCTACAAACTATACATTTAATTCATACTAAGCCCGACTTTACTACCTGATTTAATCCCTCAGACATTCCCAAATATTTGTTGGTCTTTGCCAAATATGTTAGTCTGTTGGCCTTATCTTTAAACCCTTTTTTCCTAACTACTTAAACCGTTTGGCTTTATCCTTTTTCTCCAACCGACAGGAATTTCTAATCGCTTTCCTGGAAATTACCTTCCATCCGTTTTCCGTTTTTTGGTTTGCAGCTTTTTTGCACTGAAGGCGTTGAGTTGATAATTTCCTAAGCCCGCACAAAGTGCCGAGGACAATGAAGAGTCACCCACATTATCGAAAAGTTTTCGGGTCATTAAGCTGGCCAAAAGCAGGATGAACAGCCAGAACAGAGAGAGCAGACAAGGAAGGTGCAAACTAACCGGATAGAAAACAATTGAATATTGAAGTGGCAATTAAAGTATGCTTCTTTTTTGGGGGAAACTTTTGCAGATTCAATGGGATGGCAATTTAATGCACATATGCCGAGATTTATGTGTTTTGTACGCGCCACGCTTGGCCAGAAAGGGCGAAACAAAGCGACATTTTGCTTTTAGACAATATTTTTCTTTCCAGGCAAAAGGCGCATCCCAGTCTTTCCGGGCTGGGGGGAAATGCCATAAAGAAGGAATCATCTCATTCCATATAATGCCAAGCCATACCATTCCATGTGCTGGCATTTAAATGCACGAAATTGTTTTTGCCCCGCTCACTGGCATCCTCTGACAGGATGCGAAAACGTTTGAATATTCGCTACACAGTATCCTTTTTCTGTCTCCATATTTATTTTGTTTTTGTCGCTGTCGGCGATTTTTTGCCTGGCCGCGTATTTGGCATCGCGATAGCGCCAGGAATCGTCTGCCCAGCGCCACCGAAATGCACTTCAAATATCGGCCAATGCGTCAGGGGAATTTCTACCAAATACATATTATATATAGATATATATACTAAGCTAAAGAAGTACGACTTGAGGAGAACCAACTTGGGGGCACACCATCTGCATTTAATTTAATTCGCCTTGTTTACTCTGTCGGTCACTCGTCGCGTCTGCATTCAGAATGCGTTTTCTATGCGGCGCAATGGAAAATCACAGAAAAATACGCGAAAGCATTTGTCATTTGCATTCAACATGGGCCTTCCATGGGCTCCTCTTTGATTTTCCTCATCGAGGCCTGATCTGAGCTTTGTACACATTTGGCTTCTTCTGTGGAATCAGGGCAAACTGCAAAGTTTCACCGTTTGTTGTCAGAGTCTTTGTGATTTGTGCCCCACCTGTAAATGGTAACAGAAACCACTTGATTGATACAAATCCTGGTTGGATATTTGAGAAATATATATATTTTTATTATAATACCCA